CAGTGGAGTAAACAAAGATTTTTGTGTGATGTTCGCTTACAAAACCATTGCCTACAAGTTGTTTCCTACAAGTTGACTCGGTATTAGTTAACCCTTAAAAAGAGAAACGCGGTAAAAAAAATCTGACAACTTTTCTGAAAGCTTTTTAGAGTGTATTCACAATAACTACAACTAACGTTATATTAATGAATTTATTTGCAGAAACGTACTTGGCATGGTACGTTTTCATTTTGCAAGGGTGTAACGAATAAGAGCTCCAGTTGTTCATTTGTCTCAACTTCGCAAGCTGCCTTGCTAAACATCAGTGGCATATGTGCCAGTGATGGACAAAAATGCTGTCTGGGTAAGAGGCAGCTCACTATGATTTGAGTCAATGCCATGTCTTCACTTTCAAACTTGTGGCATGTGCGTCCAGGAGTGTGCGAGAGATAACGTTTTACCCAGCAACAGCGCTGGAGCTTCACCACATGTGGAAAGGGGTCAGGAGGGTTTTCTCTCTATTAACGGCGTCTGAGGAGCACAGACCGCTTCTGTTCCACAATATGACATTCATACTCACTCCCTCTGTGCAAGTTTCCACTCTCTGAATTTCTCATTGTCTTGGTTTGAAGGGACCATGCGCAGTCTATTTAGTACTGCCCACATTCATCGTATGTAGAATTAATGTAGAATAGTATAAATAGTAGTTGTGTAATTTTGCCTGGAGGAGAAAGGGATTGTTTCGAAGTTGGTGCGGGTTTCTGTCGCGAACCAGCCTTTGAGAGGGAAATGGAAAAACCCGTAGTGGAGGAAGAAAATCTGGAGTGCTCACGAACGCTGTTCGCATGAAAGGCAGCATCAGTCGCTCCACTCCACTCGTGTACGGTCCAGACCGTATTTCAATCTGTGCGTTAGCGAAACTACTTTGTTTGGCCTTCCAAGAGGACGATATCTGCTTCATGCCTGGAGCTGATCCATGCTGGTCGCTGAAGAAATACTTCGACTTCGCGCTGTCGATCGGCTTTCACCGTGGACGAAACTGAGTCCAGCCCAGGGTCGTCACATGTGGTTGCCGCAGGCATCACAATATGGTAAGGGGCGTAACATTTCCGTCACACGCTTGAGGAATTCGGCCAATCACAACGCACTGGATAGCTGGCCAATCACAGCACACCTCACTTTTTCAGACCGATGAACTTTGTAAAAATCTACGTGTTTCAGAAAGGCGGGGCATAGAGGAGAAACAATAATGTACAGTATGTGGAAAATGTTTTTTGAACCTCAAACCGCATAAACACATTTTATTACACCAAATACACAAGGCTTTTTTTTTTTTTTTTTTGCAGCATCATATGACCCCTTTAAAAGAAAAGATACTTATCCCAACAACAGGGTTGCTTTCATGAAAGCAATGTTTTACTCATTCCGTTCCAATCCATTTGTTTTTGACATGCATTTAGAGTAGGCTAGGTTTCAGATCTGAGAAGGGTTGGTGCACTTTTAGATAATGCTTCTTTAACAGCAACAGAATACAATAGAAATGTAGTAGCCTATAGAAAAATTTAGTCAGAATGATATACAGTCAAACCAAAAATTCAGACACCAGATATAATTTCATATATTTTTGTATTACTAGTGGGTGCCAGATAGTTCATAAATGTAAGTGAGGATAGCAAAATAAAGTGAACTTTGACATTATACCCAAAAATTCTTCATACATTGGACTACCAGTAAAATTTGTGATCAAAAATATTCAGACACTTTGACCTGACCATGTTTTGCTTAAGTGTTTTTTCTTTAATTGCTAATGCGATCTTCTTAAACCACAGACTGAACAAAATTAAGCATTTCTTGGTAATTGGTTGACCTAATTTAGTATTATCTAATTGTATACTTAAATTTAACAGCTGAATTTTTGGTTGATTGTAATCTATTACATGCCTTTCTATCAAAGTTATGTGACATTGTCAAGAATAAGATGAATTTGTTCTAACACGGTTTAACTTCTTGAGGTCTTGTTTTTTTTCCCCCATTATCATTTTCTAAACTGTGATATAATGTGAGAAATGTTGGTGTCTGAATAAATTGGTTTGACTGTACAGATCTCGATGGTCACACTCACTCACCCTCTTTGAAATTTGAAATCTTTTTGTAATATAGTATATGTTGAGTATCCAGGTAGTGCTTGGAATGTGAAGTGTTTTCACAGGTCACGTGTCTCCACCTACCCAAGCCTCAAATCCATCACTTTAGAATATTAAGAGGAAAACTAATTACTACCCAAAAACTGACCTAAATCTCATTCCCCTGGAAGTGTTGTCACCTGGTCTCAAAAATCAACATGCATCAATATTAGAACAATAAATCCTATGGTAAGGCAACACATCTTCAGATATTGTACCTTTTCCTCTGAACATAAACCTGTCTGCGGCTGTGGGAGTGAGTCAACTGGCATGTCAGTTCATCCTTCATTCCAGCCTTTCATTCCTGAGAACACCTGGTGTGCAGATGCCTGAAGCGACAGTGTTTGACACTGTTCACTGGAGCGCTCACATTACTTAAACAGTTTCCAGGCTCCTTCGTGTTGCTCTGACTGCATATTGAGTGTAACCTGTGAGTTACAGACAAACACCACCTCTGCTGTGTTTGTCTG